ATCCATACGTACATACATACATACACACATACACACACATACACAATCGCATAGTCACATACACACATCCCTCCCTTCCCTCCCTCCCTTCGTCCATCCATCCATACATACATGAACAAACACCTACATACACCAAATGCGGTCCATATGTGAGGCAACACCACTGCGCTTTCAGATTTGTTCACTTCAGAGAACCATTAAACACAGAATTGGCGGCGGGGCGTTCCGTGCCACCCCCCACCCTCCTGGAAGCACGCCCGCTCCCCCCGCCCTCCCTAAGATTGCACCAAGTGGCGTCCAAGGCAACCAAGATGGCCTCGAAGCCAGACTCAATTGCCCCATATGTCCTCCACAACGAATTTAGATGGCTTTCCAGACGGCCGCGATAGCCCCAATACAGGCCACGAACCTCCCCTAACGCCCCAACAAGCCTCTAAAAACATCCCGTGAAGGCGCGGATATGCCAATATCAACTTACGGCTTGACAGATTTTCGCGTTCGCGCCTTCTCTGGCTTCCGACATGCTCAGACACCCCAGGAGGCCTGCCAAACTGCCCCAACGCGGCCCAAAACGCCGCAACGAGGACACCAAGACGACCCAGGAGGGCGCCAAGATAGCCCAAGAGGCCCCCCACACGGCCCCAAAGTGGCCCCAAGACGGCCCAAAAAAATCCCCAAGACGGCCTCCCACGGCGTCCGGTGGGCCAAGAGGCGATCAAGAGGCCGTCTAACGCTTCCAGAAAGCTTCTCAGAGGCCCAACAAGCTCTCAAAAGTGATGTTCCCAAGAGCCTTCCCCTCGCCCGCTCACGCGGCACGGGTCATTCACAATTTTTCTGCGCTTCGTGCATAAGCGACTGGGGCGCCTTGTACGCTGGTGTATCTACGTTGCAGGGGCAGGTCCAGATACGATGGTACCACGAGTCGGGGTCGGTACCGCATCTGGGGCATGAAGCCGACGCAGAATAGCCGGCTTCAATCTGACGATCGTGGGGCCATTGCCCCCCAGCCATGACTGTGAGTAGCTGGCCTATCGTGTCAGAGGATTCAATCTTGAGCAGCCTAGCGAGGTGATGCTCCAAGAGCCTCCCCCCCGCCCGCTCACGTGGCACTGGGTCCAACCAAATTCGACTTACGCTCCGAAAGACACCTCACGTCAGACCAGGAACACCCTGGGGTGCCCCGAGAGGGCCCAGGGCTCCCAATCAGCTTTTTAGAAGCACGGAGACAAGCGCGAAGACGGCGCGCATATGGCCTCAAGACATCTTGAGAGCCCGCTGAAAATGGTCCGGGCCTCGCAAACCAGCTCCATGAGAAGGATCGCGAGACTCGAGCTCCATGAGAGGCATGGCCGCGCAGCTTCTCCAAGCGCGGGGGCGGATGTGCGGCAGCGCAACTGGATACCGCGTCAGACGCGGTCCAAATAAGAGGATCCGTACATTGGAAACATTCGCGGTCAACAATGTCAGCTCTGTGGTTAGCCAGCGCAACTTCCACGGCTGCACGATCAAGCAATTGCGGCACAACGCGCGCACCTGCTCTGGCAGATTGGACTGGGAGAATCAGATCCGGTGTTTGGAGCGGAAATGGAGAGTCGGGGGCAAGACACAATAGAGCAGGGAAACTGGGAATGTGAAAGCACACTGCGTGGAAATTGTTGGCAACTCCATTGCCTCTTCCATAGGCCGCGGCGGATTCCGGATCAATAACACATGTCGGTTCGGTTTCAAATTAATGTGACATCGAAGACTGGACCTGTGCACGTCTACATCCTAAACCGGTTACAAATCATATTCAGGATGAGTGCAGCAACTTCTTAGAGTGCTATCGTATCCCAAGGCCAGGAACGTTTGTATATCGTCATGAGTACTAGATCGGAAGTTCGCGGTCTGCAATGCGTTCCCATATTCGCCGATCATTTGCGCTGGGCATAATTCTACGGACCTTATGATTCTCGCATGGTCTTTCCACATGTTCCGTCGTGCGACGCGCTCGCTGGCAACATTTTCGACCAGAACTCAAAATTCGGCGGCCTGTGGGTGACAGATTTTCTGGATCACGCTCCCGCCTTTGTCGCCTACAGCCGCGGCTAAACCGACGTCTTCCTGTTGCGCTGCCAGCCCACGCAGAGCGTGAATCGGCGGCCCAAGCGCGGAAGATATGCAATCTCAACACAACGGGAAACTCGCCTTCGGTACGGTTACTTGCCGCAGCTGCGTCGCAGGGCATGGCTCTGACACGCGAGGTTTGGTACGAGCAGAGGCACTGCAGCAAATAAACCGCGGGGCGGGTGGGTGGGGTAGCCGGGGGAGGAGACAAGAGATGAGAAGGGAAGGCGGGGGAGGAGGAGAAAGACAAATATAAGGATGGGAGGAACACTATGGCTCCACACGGACCCAAGACATCTCCCATGCAGATCGAGACGCCCGTGTCCCGAGGATGGGCCCCACATGCCTGGGGGTTGACCTTGCACAGCCCTAAGACGCAACAAGACGCCCCCGACTACTCTCAGACGGGGAGGAGGAGGAGGAGGAGGAGGAGGAGGAGGAGGAGGAGGAGGAGGAGGAGGAGGAGGAGGAGGAGGAGGAGGAGGAGGAGGAGGAGGAGGAGGAGTTGGAGGATTTGGAGGGGTTGGAGGAGGATGATGAGGAGGTTGCTGACGACTGCCGCTGGCGGGCGCCACGGTGCCGCGCTGTCGCTGTGGGAGCGGCGGCCCGTGGCGGCCCAGCGCGGTGGGCGCGGCCCCTCGCGCAGCGCTGCAGCTGGGCTCCGCCAGGCGAGCATGTCGACACCACTGAGTCCTCCTCCTCCTCCTCCTCCTCCTCCTCCTCCTCCTCCTCCTCCAACTCCTCCTTCTCCTCCCTCTTGGGAGGAAGGGGTCGGGAGGACGAAGAGTATGAGCAATGGCGTCCAGATGCAGTGCACGAGGCCGTCGGCCGCCTGCGGGTAATGATAGCCTCATTGCTCCCAGCTCCATCCTCCCGACCCGATAGCGATGATGTTCTCTGGCGCCGTGCTGCTGCGCGTGTCCGCGAACCTGGCTCCGGACTCGCTCGCAGAGCTCTCTCGCGCTGACGCTTGAGCCAAATTGGCTGCGGGCAATGATAGCCTGATAGCCTCACTTCTCCCAACCCCATCCTCCCGCCCCGACAACTGTTTTCCCGAACCACGCATGGCCAGCAACTGTCGCGGCCGGGCCCGGGAGCCGCGAATGAGGCCATGAGGGGGGGGGAGAGCGCGGGCTTCTGCGGGGCGCGGGGGGGGGCGGCGGCTGCGCAGCCTGGCGGGTCAGATGCGCCGCCTGGCCCTGCGACTCCAGCAGCGGAGCGGGACGGGGAGGGGTCAGGAGGAAGGAGGAGGAGACTGGAAAAGAATCAGCAAGAGGGAGGAAGGAGGAAGGAGGAAGGATGAAGATGGAGGGTCAGGAGGAAGGAGTAGGAGGAGGATGGAATGAGTGAGTGAGTGAATGAATGAATGAATGAATGAGAGAGTGAATGAATTAATGACTGAATGAACGAATTAGTGAAGCCGCGTGTCCGTAGACACATGAGCAGTGGCACGAGCGCGCGTTAGACAGTATACTTGCGTACTCTGCTTTCCAGGCTGCCGCAAGAGAAGGGCCCAAATTACAAATCTTGCGACCGATATCGTGACACATTCGCTGCGCGTGCTTATGCAACGCTGGAGGGCCATAAGTAACCCAATATGCATCAACGATGATGCAGCACAGCGTCCCGTGCCGCATCTCTTCGCCACGAGTTCCTACACGCGCTCTTGTCGTCTTAGGTAAATTAGATCCAGCTAAATTCAGCAAGTCTACGCTAAGTTAAGTTGACTTTCAGCCAAGTTAAGGTAACTAAGCAAAGTCGCGCTTAACCACCTCGCCCCTTTCTCAATGAAGCAAACTACTTCAGCTATGCAAGTGGTGCTCCCAATCAAGCAAGACGACCCCAAACCACCTCGGAAACGTAAATTCCGTCCACGGAGCGACGCCTTGAAAACGAACGCCCAGTATGCCCGCAGTGAAGGCGAGGGTTGCGTTTTGAACGGAACTGACCCCCCATACTTCGAGCTATACGGACTGCGACAAGGTGGGGTTCTACCACCGACAGACATGGACAAAGGCACCCCCGCTTCTCTCTATCAGTCAACTTTTGCAGAACCTGAAGTTCGGCCTATAATTACGCAAAAGATATCCTGAAACGAGAAGCCCATTTTGAAAAGAAGCCGCCCTTCATCCGTGGAACTGATAACATGCTCTATACCACTGGTAATGCAGATTGCAGAACTCTTCAGCGCGAGCCAGCCTCCATCCACGTATCTCATTTCTTACACAAAAGCGCGTGGCGCCAAAGCTAGTGCCGCGTTTTGAAAACAAGCCGCCTTGAATACGCGTAGCCATTGGAACTTTGGGCTTCATGAGGGTACACTGTAATGCATCCTATCAGGCGAAACGCATGGGGGTGCGACAGGAAGGCATCACTAATAAAGAAAAGAAGCCAGGAGGAGCATGAGGAGGAGAAGGACGAGCAAGAGGAGTGAGTCAGGGAGGAAAAGGAGAAGGAGGAAGAGGAGGAGGAGGAGGAGGAGGAGGAGTTGGAGGAGGAGGAGGAGGAGGAGGGAGGAGGAGGAGGAGAGGAGGAGGAGGAGGAGGAGGAGGAGGAAGGAATGGTGACGAGGATGAGGAGGGGGAGCAGGGAGGGGCAGGTGGAGGGGGAGGCGGCGTGCGGCGATCACGCGAACTTGCAGGACGGGGCCTCAGCCGTGTCCGGGCGGGAAGTAGCAGCTGTACCACCGGTTCTTCACCAGGCACGGCACGTGCTGGGCGCCCACCTGTTGGCGGCGCGCACAAGGGGGTGGGGGGAGGGGGGAGGGCTTCTTAGAAGGAGGCTGCTTCTTAGAAGGCGCCGGCCTTACATCCATAGATGAGGCCCGCGCCTTCTAAGAAGCAGGGGTGCTTCTAAGAAGCCCTCCCCCCTCCCCCCACCCCCCTCTGCGCGTGGCTGACCTTCCCAGCAGGCTGGAGGCGGGGGGAGAAGTGCACTTTCGGAAGTGCGCGCGGCCTTCTCGGGCCGGCGCTAGGCAGGTATCTGCGCGGACCTCCGGATGCTCATGTTTTATGCGACACTTTCGGCCTTCGATTCTTGGGATCCTGACGCCTACTGCAGGCCTCGTGCAGCCTGTGTAACTTTTTCACTGTCTCGACCGGCTACGTCACCTCCCAGCCGACAAGGCCGTCTGGCCGAAGAGCAGCCGCTGATTCTGCGCCGCGCACTTCGGAGGCAGCGTCCGAGCACGCCGTTACTGGCGGCGCGCTCCCTCGGGGCTCCTCCTGGGCTGGACTGCATCAGGACATGAGCAAGTAGGGAGCGCACAAGGGACGTACGCGCCCAACCATGTACATGAACACGGCCCCTCGATACGCGAGACCGTCCGCGTGATACGAACATTCGCGCAATGCGTACTCTCGAAACCAACGTGGATTCATGTATGTACGTGTGCGTCCTTCTTTCGCTCCTGAGCAAGGCCATCTTCTGACCAGGCGGATTCAGTGCACCACGTGCCCTCAGCAGTAATCGCGCAGAGCCCTCCTCCCAGCCACCTCCTAGCGCCATCGCGCCGCCTGTGCGGAAAACACTTCTGGCTTCCCACGCACCTGGTCACCGCCATGTCGCGGAGGAATGCAGGGGAGGACAGCGTAAATGCAAAAGCAGTGGGAGACAGGAACCTAACTGGCCCGAGACGACAAGGAATAGCAAGCTCGCCCTGATCGTGCGCATATCAGGCTGCGCTCCCGTCAGCTCGGGAGAGTGCGGCCAGCCGCGCCTCTCGCATCGCGCCTGGGTCTGTAAGCACTGCTCCTCCGGTGGCGTGTCCAGGGGTGGACCAGACCTTCTCGGGGTCGATTTCTTTGATCACCTGTTCAATATCAAAATCTGCTGCCTTCGGGTTCGGCGTGTACTTTCCACCGCTGAATCCCTGCACGAGGCCGCTGAAACTTGACCCCAACTTCTCCATCGACCGGTACTTCCCGTCCATGCGCTTGTGCACCAAGTAGAAGAGGGCGACGTCCGAGAACGAGTTGCAGTTCTTGCGGAGGAGGTCGTACGTGCCAGGCAGGAAGTACCTCTCAATCTTGGCCCTGAGGGAGCTGCCCGAGTAATGAGACTTGCCGAAATCAATCACCTGAGGCTTGTTCTCCTTGCCCTGCTGCTCGGCCATCGCGGTGTGACTCGCGAATCCCGGGGCGGTCTGTATGCCGCCGTCGCTGAAGGAGTACTCCTCGCCGTTCACGACGACGGAGGAGTGGTATGCTCCCGGTCCGATCGAAGACACTACGAGCTGCACGGTGTTGACGGGGACCCTGGAGGAGAGTAACAAAGGTTGGCAGCGCACTAGAGGCGGGCGGGGCGAGGGGGGACGGCATTCGAAGGGATCGGCCCCTGTAAAGGCCTGCGCCACACGCCTTCTGACAAGCGGGGGGGTCTTCTTAGAAAGGCGCTCCTCCCTCGCCCCATCCACTTCTGCGCGCCACACACGACAGGGGAGGAGAAAGATGCATATGAAGATGTGGAGAAAGAGCCTCTCTCTGCTGGTCGACATGCCTGGAGCGCCGGCTTCGCTGTCTCGGAAAGGCTCCCTGGCCTCAGGGCTGCCACCGAACCGTCGCGGGCAGAGTCGCTGCACTGCGTTCCCCATCGCTGCCAAGCCCCACTCCAGCAATTATCAGGCGCGGTCCAGGCCCCAACGCAAATCTGAACAGCTTTGCTCAACATGTCTGCGGAAAACACTTCATGGCCCATAGAACCCTCTAGCACCTCATAGACCCATACAACCGTCCTCCTCTTCCTCCTCCTCTTCCTCCTCCTCTTCCTCCTCCTCCGACTCCCCCTACTCCTCGTCCTCCTCGACGCCAGAGGGGTATTTTAATGGAAGACTGACCGGTGTCTGGCCTGGGCAGCACTTACACACAGCATGCATCATGCAACGCTCTTGGCGCTTCGCCGATTCAGGAGCGGTATGGACCCGCCTCCCGTGGCGCACGCACGCCCCACCTCCCCTCCCTCACTCGGCGGCGCCGGGCGCGGGGGGTGGGGGGGTGGGCGGAGCGGCCTTCTCAGAAGGCGGGGCCCTCCTCAGAGGGGATCGACAACTTCCCAGGATGGGCCCCTCGGAGGGCAAGGAGTGGCTTCCCCCAAGATGCACCCTGCACTCTTGGAAGGGCGCCCACCCCCTCGCCGTAGCCCCTTCAGCGCGCAGCCGGCTCACTCTCCACTTCCCCTCCCGCTCCCAAGGCACGTGGCGATTCGAAAAGGTAGCCCTGGGGGTTTCCAGAGTCTTGGGCGTCTGGACGGCTGCCTCTGGGCCCCGCGGCCGCCCAAGAACGAACCTGGGACGCACAAGCTGGTCCCACAGAGGGTTTAAAAGCTTCAGGGTCTGGCGGCTTGAAGGGAGGAGGAGAGGGGAACATGACGATGACGATGATGATGTTGCTGATGATGCTGATGCTGATGCTGACGATGATGCTGCTGATGATGATGCTTAAACTGAAAATGATGATGCTGATGATGATAACGATGATGATCCCGATGACGATGCTGATGACGATAATGATGATGATAATGCTGATGCTGATGATGCTGAAGCTGATAATGATGATGCTGATGATGATGATGCTGGTGGTGATGCTGATGCTGTTGTTGTTGATGATGATGCTGATGATGATAACGATAATGATGATGATGCTGCTGGTGGTGATGATGACAATATTTTGATGCTAATGATGATTCAATGGGGCTGGTGAGGAGGAAGAGGAGGAGGAGGAGGACCAGTGTAAACCCAAAACTCATCAATGACGTTGGAATGCACCCTCGCTCCAGGCTCCCTCTTCGTAGGCCCCACAAAGGTTCATTCCCACTAACAGAAAGGCCCCGTTGGGGGACAACGGCCACAAAATCTTGAAGCCATGATTTCAACGTCGCGAGTCAATCTGACTGTTGCGTCGCGACGACCCTGAATCGTTACGTAACAACATTCCTGGGATTTCAACGCAACCGATCAACGTAACCGTTCCGCCCTGGCACTCCTGAGCCGTTCCAAAACATCATTTCTGGTACGTGAGCCATGCGAGTCAATGAAGCTCGCGTTTTTTAGAACGATGCGCGCGGCGGTGAAACGAGCACCGCATTTGAAAAAGAACTGGAGGCGATCCCCTCCCCGTCCTAAATAAAGTCGAACCGATTTGATATGTGTCTGGGCTTTGCTCGAGTTTTGGTTGAGCTTTGGCTGAGCTTTGTTTGAGCTTTGTTGGAGCTCTGCTGGAGCTTTGCTGGGATTTGTTTGAGCTTTGTGTGAGCTGTGCTTGAGCTATAGTTTGGCTTTATTGGAGCTCTGTAGGCGCTTTGTTTGGGCTTTGTTGGGGCTTTGTTTGAGCTTTACTTGAGTTTCGTTTGGGCGTTGTTCGAGCTTTGCTTTAGCTTCGTTTGTGCTTTATCTTGTTTGAACTTTGTTTGAACTTACGACGACGACGACGGAAACGGCGACGGCGGCGGCGACGGGCGGGACATTAAATGCAACCTTCACTCGGTGATGGGACAAGATGGGGTGTGTATATATACACACACACACTAGAACCATCGCGCGCGCTTCGCGCGCGCTCAGGTTCTAGTTGAGGTCGCCGCCCAAGTGCGGTGCCCGCGACGGTTCTTACCACGAAAACGGCGGCGTGCACTGCAAGCCACGTGTTCCGGAAACGCACTTCTGGAACATAGGAACGGACATCCCCGATCCTCATCGTTCGCACGCCATGTTCCGGAAGAGCGTTCCCGGAGCATGGGGCGCCAGTGGCTCCCCCGGGTCTTCCCCCCTCCCAGACTATCCTGCCGAGAAACTCTTGGGTTGTGTAGGGCCGGTCTTGCGGGCTCCCTGGGGCTCTCTGGGCCCGCCCAGGGCTGTCTGGGAGCGGACCTGGAAGCGCGCTAGGCCTTATGGGAGCGTCGAAAAGCCGAAAAGAGAAGAAGGCCTAGATCCTCCATGTCCTACGTAGAACAAACGATTTTGGCCTGTTGGGACCCTCTTGGGGGTGCTCCTGGAAGCGTCTTGAGCCATGTTTCAAGCCTCTTGGGAGCTACCTGGGGCCTCCTGGGGCTGTCTTGAGGCGGAAGCTGGGATTTCCGGACGCAGTCCGTGTCTTAGCACCTCTGGGGCCTGTTTTGGGGCACTCGTGGGCTGCCCTGGGCGCTTCTGGGGCCAGCCTTGGGCTCTCCGGGACCGCCTCGGGGCGGCCTTGGGCGCTTCTGGAGCTGTTTGGGGGCGTTCTCGGAGGCCTCCTGGGCCGCCTAAGATCAGAAGGCCCAAACCCTTCGAAAACTATGGTAGAACCATCAATTTTTGGCCTGCTGGGGCCCTCGTGGGAGTGCTCTTGGAGGCGTTTAGAGCCATGTTGGAGGACTCTTGGGGACTGCCTGGGGCCTCCGGGGTCACTGTTGAGGCGGGGGCCCTGGGTGTTTGGTACGCGATCCTTCTCTTGGGCCCTTCGTGGGTTTCTTTTGAGGCCTTCGTGGGCTGTCGTGGGCGCTTCTTGGGCCAGCCTTGGGCTCTCCGGGGCCGCCTTGGGCTTGTCTGGGGGGCCTCTGGGGCTGCTGGGGGGCGGACCTGGAGACCTCCCGGGCCGTCGTGGAGCGTCGTGCAACCGAAAAAACCCAAAGGCCAAACTCCTTCCGAAACCCTCGGGAAACAATCGATTTTGGCCTCCCGGGGCTCTCTGGGGAGTGTTCCTGGAAGCGTCCGGGGCCATTTTGGAGGGCTCCTGAAACCTCTACCACGTGCTTCGGCGACATGGGTCGAAGGTGGGAACCATTCCTGGTGCTGAAACAGCACCAGGGTCGATCCAGAGCCGCCGCTCGGGAGATGCCCCGGAGCGGCTCTGGAGAGGCCCGGGGGGGGGGGGTCCCCCCATGGCGATTCGAGGCACCTGGCCAGAGGCCCCCGGCCCCGTACCCAGACATGTGTACATGTAAATGTATATGTATATATATGTATACATATATTTTTATATATATATATATATATATGTATGCATGTATGTATGTATGTATGTATGTATGTATGTATGTATGATGTATGTATATGTATGTAGTATGTATGTATGTATGTAATATGTATATATATTATAATATATATATATATATATATATATATATATATATATTCCTTATCCTTATTACATGACACGAAAAAACCCACAAAGGAATGGGGCACACCTAATTCCAGGGTCTCCGGGGGCACCGGCGGAGACCCCGAAGGAGTCCTTCAGGGCATCCCCCGGACCGTTCAAAGACCTCACGAACGCTCCCAAGGCGCCTTAAGCTATCTCCAAGGCGGCTCAAGAGCGCACTCAGAGGGCCCCAAGACTGCCCCAGAGCGCTCCAACAGGGCCACAGAGGCCCAACAGGGCCCAAGACGGCCCAAGACAGGCCCAACAGGGCTCCCCAGCGCTCCAACAGGGCCCAAGACGGCTTCTAGACGGCCACAGAGGCCCTCAAGACGGCCCAAGAAGCCCCCCAGAGACCCTGAAGACGCAAAAATCGTCCCAGTCCCTGCGGAAAACGTACATTTTTGATATATTCGCTTCGTCGGTCTTGAAAACGTCCAAGGCGGCCCAAGAGGCCCCCAAGGTCGCCCCAAGGCGGCCCAGGACGCCCCCAAGAGGGCACCAAGACGGCCCGAGAGAGCTCCCAAACGGCCCAAGAGAGCCCCAAGACGGCCCGAGAAGGGCCCCAGAGGGTCCGAAAAAAGTCCCCGGGGAGCCCCAAGAGAGCCAAAGGAAGCCCCCCTGACGGCCCAAGGAAACCCCAATAATGCTCCAAGACGGCCCAAGCCCCCCAAGACGGTCCACGAGGGCCCCTGGACGGCCCAAGAATGCCCCCACCCAGCCCAGAAGAGCCCAAAAAGGACCTCCAAAAAGGCCCAGGAAGCGCCCAGAGATTCCCAAAATGCTTTCAAAAGGCTCCAGGAGGATTCCCAATAAACCCCATGAAGCGCATGGAAGGTCTCGCGTCTACGTGTTGCACGGCGTTCCCAGAAAGGCTTCAGGAAGGCCCCGATTCACGATCCATCAAAGGGCTTCCAGAAGCCCAACAGAAGCAAGCCGCGTGGCACCGAGAGGCACCCAAGACGCCCCGAACTCACGATCCAAGTCACGGGTGTGCCGCCATGGGCGGGTCGGCGGGATGCGAGCGAGGAAGGGGCAGGGCGGGGCGGAGTAAGAGGGGCAGGAGGGTTCGCACCAGGAAAAGGAAAATGATTTACACTGCTACGGGGAGGGCCAGAGTGCCAGCCACCAGGTCCCCACCCAAGACGCCCCGAACTCACGATCCATGGGCGCCATGGGCGGGGCGGCGGGGCGGCGGGGTGCGAACGAGGAGGGGGCAGGACGGGGCGGAGTAAGAGGGGCAGGAGGGTTCGCATCAGGAAAAGGAAAATAATTAACACTACGACGGGGAGGACCGGAGTGCCAGCCACCAGGTCCCCGCCTGTTTCGGTGACCGCCAACGAGCCCCTGGCAGCATGGGGCCACCGTGCAAGGCCCCGGGGAACCCGCATACACACATACATAAGAGCTCTAGGGCCATTTGGGAGCCCCCGAGGCCTCGCCTCGCACATCGCACGCACGCGCGCACTGGAACGCCAGCCACCAGATCCCCCCTTTTCGCGCATCGCCGACACGTCACTAGCACAGAAGGCCAGACAAGGACCCCAGGGACCCCGCATACATATAC